AAATGTGTAAGTTTGCAAGAAGCCAGGACAATCATGGCTGAGATGCATGAAGGGATATGTGGAGCTCATCAAGCTGGCCAAAGGATGAGATGGTTAATTATTAGGAATGAGTATTTTTGGCCCAAGATGGGAGAATCATGTGTTCAATATGCAAAGAGTTGTCTAGCATGAAAAAAGCATGGTCCAATACAAAGGGCGCCAGCAAGAGAGATGACACATATTATCAAACATTGGCTGTTCAAAGGTTGGGCGATAGACCTAATAGGGAAGATTTATCCCCTATCGTCCAAGCAACATACCTTTGTTATAGTTGCAATTGATTTTTTCACTAAGTGGGTAGAAGCGATACATTTAAAAGAAATCACCCAAAAGAGTGTCATAAAATTTATCCGTGATCATATTATTTATAGATTTGGGATTCCACAAACTTTGATAGTAAATCATGGAACTTCTTTAAATGGAGATCAAGTGAATAAATTTCTGAGTGAGTTTGGAGTTAAAGTAGTGAACTCCACACTGTATTACGCTGACAAACAGAATTTTCTAATAAGATTCTAAAAAATATCATAAGAAAAATGATAGATGAAAATGTCAGAAATTGGTACGAATGTCTAAACAAGGCCTTATGGGCTTATAGGAAGTCGCCTCGGTCAAGTACCAAAATTACTCCTTTCCAATTTACTTATGGACATGAGGTCGTTTTGCCTATGGAAATTAACATGCAATCGATCGGAGTATGTTTACAACATAAGTTAAGTGATGATGAGTATACCGAATCACTAGTTCAAAACTTATTGGAGTTGGACGTTCTAGATAGATTGCAAGTTCAAAAACAAAGGATGGTTAAGTTTTATAATAAAAAATTTATAGCCAAGTCATTTAGCCTGGGCGAATTGGTTTGGAAAACAATACTCCTTTTGGATAGCAAAGATCTAAAATATGGCAAGTGGTCGCCCAATTGGGCAGGGCCATATAAAGTAAATAGTGCATTGCCTAATGTAGCCTATCATTTGGAAGATTTAGATGGCACCAAGCACATGAGGTTCATTAATGGCAAATATTTAAAAAAATATGTTCATTCCTTATGGGAAAGTGAACAAATAAAAGCGTAATCAAATCGCGTTGAACGATCGTATATAAAAAGGGCCAGAACGAAATACGTTCAAATAAATTCCTTTATTATCAAACATTCATTACAAATTGCGAGATACAAAATACTAAATGCTCTATAAGCTACAATTGAGAGCAAACTAATCTCTCGATCGATCGCCAAGTAAGAGGGTGAACTGGCCTTGATTGTCATCCTGAGCGCACTGCTGCAAAGGCAAGCAGAGAGGCCAAAAAACACTCTTAGCAAGCAGAAGGGAAGAGAAGCACCCTCACATCGCCTACCTAAATGCATCGCTGCAATAACGGGTAAGGAGACTGAGAAGCACTCTTAGCAAGCAAGGTGGCTTGACATGCATCCTCAAAAATTGCCTTCCATCATTGAACTCCTTGTAAAGAACATGGAGACGATGGGAAGAACTTTGTTGGCCAAAAAAACATTTCCTATATCTCCCATATCAAAGGTGGCATCAAAACAGGTAGCAAAATGGGCGGATCAAATGATCCAATTCTGTGGAAGACGAAAATTTTCGATCGATTGTTGAAATGCCAAACGATGGCAGCAAATTAGTTTTTGAAGAAAAGAATGAAAATGAAAATGAAAAGCGCGAAATATACGTGCATTTATAGGGGCGTGAAGGTGAAGAGACAGAATATGAACGGCCACATTTGTGCCTAGTAATTGGAGTCAAGTGGCCCAAAGTCTTGAGAAAAAAAACAGAAATACGAGAAGAGAATGTACATGAATCTTAGCATAAAGCAGCTAAATGCTTGGGGGGTTGACGATTAAGGACAATGTCAATTAGCACACAAGTAGTCAAAATAGTCATTCATTAATGACAATGGCTGCTGTTACATTCAAATTTAGCAATGATAGTTAGTACGAAGTTACAAAAGGAAAATTTAAGGCACTAGATGTCTTAACTACAATTCACCCCAGGCTGATCGAATCCTTTTCCTAAGTCTCCCGCAATCCTCGTTCTGCTGAGAAGAAGCGACATTTAATTCAGCTACAAAATCGTCATCAACCTCCAGCTTTTTGTACTACTCGACCAAAGACTTGGTTCACTCAATTCCTTGGGAAGCATTACGCTTTTTAGCAGCCATTCTCGCTCTACAATCTTCCATTTTTGCTTGAAGCACCTTCATCTCTGCAGCCAAACTTGTCATCAGAGAGTCTTCGATCATAACTTCGGAAGAGATTTCTTTCAATTCGTCTTCAGCTTTGTTAATCTCTAGAAGCAAAGACTCTCTTTCAGATGCAGTGCGGAGATATTGAATACTCCTAGCCTTCAGTTCAACATTTTTGGCCAACAAGGAGAGGATGTCAGAGTGGACAACCTTCAACGTCGCTTTAAAATCAGCAGAAATATTGAGCGACGGAAGTGTCAGTGCTTGCGCCAACTTCGCACTCAATAGCTCAAGCTTATCCTTATGTTTAGCAACACTAGCCTGACCAATGTCCATGTCCATAAAAGACACATACTTAAATATCGACTGTTTGAGGAACTTCATATCTTCCTCTGAAGAAGCAGAAGGACGACCAGTTGAAGTAGGGTGAGACGTCTTGACTTGCCCCCAGAAGTGAACAAGTTCTGGATGGAACGCACAATGTCATCAACACCCTGTAAAGAAAAATGCCAACATTGAGGGCTTTCACTACAATAAATGAAGCGAAAATGAAAGTAAAGCGAAAAATTACCTTATCAGCAATCTTGGGAAGTGGCATATCACCAGTTGGCTCCACCACCTGTGGAGACTTCCCCTTATCTAGGCGAGAAGACTCTGCCACAATGGGCAGACCCATGAGACCCTCTACAGAATTCAAGAAGTAACAAATCAGAAACCAATAGCACAAGCAAAGGTAAAACATCAAAAAATGTATTGCCTTCTGGTTCGATGTTTGGGGGGTCGGCGCCCTGGGAAGAAGGTGGCTCTTCCATTGGTTGTGATGAGGATTCCAGGACTGAAGGTTTCTCTTTAAGCATAGTCCCTTCGTCAGTTGATTTGGACGAAGCAGCTTCAGTAGAGGATGATGGAGCAAGAGTTGCCAACACCAAAGCCTTCAAAGGAAAGGCTAAATTTTTCTGAGAAATCAAGTAAATCATTAGCACATAGAAAGGTATGTTTGTGAGTAAACAGAATTCAATTACCTTTCTCCTAACGATGAGGGGAGCATCATCATCATTATCATCCTCCAAAGTGGGAGATGCTGAAGCTGGTCGTTTGCGGCTCAAGGCACTCTTAGCTGCAGTAGCCTTGGCAGGTAGAGAAGTAGATGGACGAATAGATTGTTTAGCACGAACGGGGGAGGAATGATTCCTAATGGACACAGGAGTGACCAAAATAGGAGAAGTGGAAGAAGTGTTTGACTGATCTAGTGAATGGAAAGCACGATTGACATCAGTTGCAAACAATCTGCCCTTCACTGATGGTGAGAGTTGTTCAAAAAGGGGATGGATGGCATGGCTAGAATTGAAGGGGGCTAATGAAAACTTGCTCACCAAAAGAAGGTTGAGAGCATCTATAGCTTGTGCCTCTGCCCTATTAATGGTGTGAAAGCGGTCTGTCAAATTTTTAGAGTAACAAGGAGGAACAGGCCAAGTTTGGCCAAAACCAAGTTGGCGAGCAAAAAATTGGGGAGCTTATATTTCAACCCCAGCTTTGGCATTAGTTCCAGTTAAAATGTCATGGAACAACTCCCTCCCGGTCAAAAATTGAACCCAAACGAGCAGAGAGGAGCTCGCACTGTCCAGGGTGGATGGAGGTTGCACATAATCTGGGGTCAGTGAGCTGAAAAAGGAAAGAAAGAAGGAATCGCATTTAAGGAATAAAAGAATGAAAAAAATGTCCCTACTAGACATATGTACAGGGGTCAGTGGATCAATGGCTAGCCCATAGCAGCTAGCAGAACGACTGGAAATGGATGGAGCACCAAGTGGTGGAAAATATGCTCTCAACCACAGTTGAGTGAACCAAAGAGGCCCACTGCCAGTGGGAGATGCACCATTCTTCAATTTTAATTGAAGAGAAGCCATGCCTCTATAAAGGACAGCTAAAAAGAAGGAACACAAATTCAAAGGCCTACCACGCGCTAATTCATGCGCTATGGGTAAGAAACTCATGGAAGGCTTCATACTTAACACACAAAGAATATATTTACAAAGCCAAATCTAAAGAAAGGTTACACGCTCAACATGGGAGGGTTCAGCGCTTGAGTGATTATAAGAGGTTTGCAGGCTTGAGTAGGACTCAGTGAGTTTCTTGTCAAATTTCGGGACGACATCGGAAATCAAAATATCAGGGAAAATGGTATCGCCCAAAAGTGGAAGATTTACAAGGGCCCCAACATCCCTTAAAGTGATAGACATGGGACCAAGAGGGAAAACAAATGTATTATATTCAGAAGACCAAAAACTTAAAGTAATAGGAAAAAGCACTGGGTTAAAAATTGAGGGTTGAAGAGCGATTTCTAATAAATCAGAAATCCTAGCACGATCAAAAATTGTCTTGGTAGGACCATGGCCCACAAGGCTAGCATGCCGCCTACGAAAAATAACATCAGATTTAGGCCAAGTGCGAATACATTTTTCGCGAATCGGCTATAGCAACAAAGAGTTCAGGAACAGAGGACCTTGAGTGCAAGGGAACAGTTGACCCACCGCCACTTGATCGACGACTTCGGTGTTGTTGAATGATGGACCCAGATAGAACTCATTGAGTTCGGCATTGGTTGGTGCAAGGAAGTTCGGATTTACATATGGCCAAGTAAGGATTTTCTGAAAATCTTCGAAGCTAAAAGAGTCAACAAATTGGGTTTGTGGAGCCGCCATTGGGAATGAAATACAATTTTGTTAAAGTTTGCTTGAGAAACGTAGCAGAAAAGCAAGAAGATGAACAGTAATATTGCGAGAAAGAAACGTGAAATAATGAGACGTGATTTAGTGGTGCGATGAAATGGCGTGTCTTTGGAGTTTATAAGGGTTTGCAATGTCGCACCTTTTCAGGCTATGGAAGGAAGTAATGATTGAAATTCTTAGGAATTTCAAATGTTGTGGGAAAACACAAAATAAATATGGCAAAGATTAATAATTAGTATTAATTCTGCCATATTGGGGGATAATTGTTGACACACTGAAAGTGTAGCCCAAATCGAATGGCCCAAGGAATGAAGCCCAATTGAGGAATTCCCAAATCGAATGGCCCAAGGAATGAAGTCCAATTGGGTAATTCAGGATAAAGGCCCAGACAGGGTTATTAATAAATGTAGTGGAAGCCCACGAATAAAGTAACATCATTGCCCAAACTTGCAAGACGCCCAAGATATGAGCGAATGAAGTGCCCAGAGCAATGACCTTGTTCTCGCCCATATTTTCGAATCGCCGAGGATCTTAGCAAACATAAAATGTTATGGTTATCCAGGAATGCAGTTATTAAAGCAGTTATTGAGCAACCTTATCACATTCCACGATTCAAGGAACCCAGTTGAAGGCGGTTGAACGACAAAGAGTAGTGGCAGCAGTTAAAGACGGTAGTTCCACGATAAGTTAGCCACCATAAAGAAAGTGGGTGGTTATGAAGCAATCGAGCAGTTTCCAAGCGGTTTGTCACAAAGGAATCATCGAGGGAATATAAAAGGAAGAGAAGACATAGAGAGAAAGGACCCCGAATCAAACACTCTCAAACAGAGAATATGTAATTTCAATTTTCTTAGTTTAAATTTAAACATTTCTTTCAGTACTCATGTGCTTGCGCCCCTTTGAGGCATTTTGTTTAGTTCCAATTGTAAATTATCGCCAATAAAACACCCCTTTTTGGGACTTTGTCTCAAAAAGTTTGTTCCTTACACAATTGTCTGATCCCTTTTTAATTGTTAGCGACTACCCTCGCGAAACAACTACAATTTGTAAATATATATCTAATATACTAGTAATATGTAAAATATATTAATAAATACTACCTTCTAAAATTATAACATTTACTATTTTTTGTAACTGAAAATAATGCAAACGTTTTGCTTTCATTCAATGCCTCCCAAATCAAAAACCAATTCAAAACTGCAACAGGAAACAATTGCGTATCACCACTGGTGGAAATCATTTTAGGATTGATCTTCGCGTTCAGTTTTCATCCATCTTCTTCAGTCGAGTCATGTTCTTCTTTAGTTACTATTTCATTTTTTATTTTTATTTTTTTGAAATTGGGAATTACTCCTGAAAATTATCTTCGACGAATTGAAGGTAACACTACATATTGTGATGTGATGAAATTGGATATTAATATCATAATTTATGAAATATGGGAAACGGAGATAAAGTTTATATGTTTTGAGAACAGATAAAATATCACCAGAAGATGTGATGTGAGAATAAATTACTGAATTCATGAATTAATTTATATTGCAACAAATCGAGATATATTTTGTAGTTAGTTGTGAAAAGCATAATAATTTCAATTTTTACACTTGCTAGTTGCCAATCATAATTGATATCACTGGGTTTACACATATTTGAACTTTGATTTATATATTTTGTTACATATGAAAGTAACTCACCCTTGATTCCTCTGTCGTTGAAATGTTTGGGTGGATATCATGTTGAATTCCTTCAAAATATCAGTCATAGCACTGTGATTTCACATGTTTGAACTTTGAATTGTACAAGTAATTTTAGTTACGTATGGAAGTTTGTGTTGTCTGATGCATCTATCATTGACATTTTCCGTTGGGTATTGAATAATTAGTTTGTCCCAATCACGGGTGATGTTACTAAGAATTCAATTTAATAAATATTTGTATACACGACATTATATCTTTGTGCGGATGCAGGTACGGAATTTGTTAATGCATTCATAAACATGAAATGAATTACAGTGTACTTCTACGAGCCAGTTCGGTTCAAGGCTGGAGATCAAATATTCTCTGAAGGTGGACTAGACTACTTGGGCAATCCCAATCTCATACATGCATAGGACATTTTGGTAGTTGTTGCATTCCATATTGTACTCATAGGACTCGTTGAAGGGTTCAGAATCAACATTTTAGAAGTTATTGGCAAAGACAACCTTTACTCCGATGGCCAATACTTGTATCCTCTTGGCCTTGCTGATGACTTCATCACTTTTGCTGACTTGAAGGTGAAGAAAATCAAGAATGGAAGCCTAACCATGTTCTTCATGTTCGGGTTCTTTATGCAGGCTATTGTCATTGAAAAGAGCACCTAAAAAAATATATTGGGTTGGTAACAATGCTTAGGTCGATGCCGCCAATTTCATGGCTGGATCATAAACTCAGTTTCATTTGTTCAATCTAGTGCCAATAATTGAAGAAAATGCATGATGGTGTAAATTTAACTTTAGAAAAATTTATATATATGCACTATATTATGAATGGAGATTGAATAAATCATGAACCAGTTGAATTCAACAAATAGGGATGCGAACATTTCTCTTATATCTTTCATCCTAACTACAACATTTAATTGAGTTATATGTTACATCGTTGACACGTGCTAAATACATATAATAAGCTCATGCAAAACTCGATCACGGATGACTGGGAAGTAAATCAACAAGATCATGAGTAAGCTAGTTTGATGACAAAATTAATAGACACACACACGCGCGACGACTCTCCCACTCTCTACCAAATTGATTATGCAAACTGAATCAAATAAGATGTTTGATGGCAAGGTCGTCTAAAAAATAATCAAAATGCTAAGATGTTTGCTCTTCTTTTCCACACCATATTATTCGATTTTTCTCGGATTCATCATACCATAGCCTGTGTACTTTTGCCTTTGCCTCTCTTAACTAGACTGTGTAATCCTTTTTTCACAAATGAAATTTGGATTTTCAAATACTCTAGTTCTTTCTGAGGATCCATGGCAGAAGAATGCCTCGATCATGGGAAGTAACTTTACATGTCTACTTCATAACCATGGATTATGATCATGTATTATTGTTATTATAATTTTTCTTTTGCGTCATTTGAACATTTGAAATGTTAATTGACGTGTTCAAAAAGGCTGTAGGTATTTATTTGAGATTCCAATCATTAGTATGAAAATCTGAAGCCAGAAGTTCCAACAAAATGACACCAAACTGAGAAATTATTCTTCAAACATTTATTCCCAACGCTAGGTTGACAATCGAAACTAGAAACAAGAAATAAGCTGATTATATTTGACCCTAGATGAAAATGAAAGAAGCCAAAAGCTTAATCAAAATTTTTGGCTTTCTCGTGATGAAGATCAAAGATATGAAAACAATATTCTTCTCCTTCAACTACCACCATCTCCACTGTACCATTCATCCACTTTTCTTCACTCTCAACATATCTTCCCGCCAATGGATCATTCTCTTCTAAACAAACCAGCAGCCTTCTACACCCCAGCCCCGATAGGCTGGAGGCATTACCAACAAATGGATTGATCATTGTATTGTCATTCCCACCAGAAACTGAAGGATAAACAAGTTGTTAGAAGTGTGACTCAAATAGGAGTCTAAATTGTATTAGATTTCTTACCTTTTCTGGGACTCTTTTAGGGCTGGATTTTATACTATAAATACAAGGCTCTTCTTTTAGTATTGTGGAAGCCATTATTACTGTAATTCTCTCCTTTCATTGATTGAATAAAATAACATCGTTCCTCTACTAGTTCTTTTATTTCTTTACTTTAATTTTGTTCATCAGTTATTTTATTTCTTTAATTTAATCTTGTTCGTGGTTATTTGTGATCTTATTCAATACTTCAATTACAACAAGTGAAATTCATTAAATCTCAATTCCTACATTATTGGTCAATCGGTCCCAACAAGTGGTATCAGAGCGGGGTTGTTGGTGGATTTTTGGCTTGAAACTGATCGGAAAATCGTTTGAAAATTACCAGAAAATCAGAAAACGAATCTATCCAATTTTTCGATTTTTTTCCAGATCCGTTTTTGCGTTTCTAGTTAAACCAAAAAGAGTTTGGAGAAACAAACACCACTAGTGGACTCAGCAGGTAGAAACGGTCCAAAAAGGGTCACAAGTCATCGGCGCGTTTTTCGACCAGTCGCCGACGGTGGTAACTCCGGCGAGAGAGTGGCGGCACATGATGTGTTTTTCGACGACGATGTCTTCAGGTAGTTTTCTCCGGACGACGAGACGGATCTTGTGGTGGTGTCCAATTTCAATTTTGGGCAAAATTGTGGTTCTAGACTATTTTGCCCCTTGCACGTTCGGTAGTTTTTAGTTTTGGGCGTTGCAGGTTGCAAGTTCTTTGTGATTTGATTGAGATTTTTCAAAGATGAATTCGTTGAAGTATGAAATTCCTCTATTGGATCGCAATACAAGATTTTCGTTGTGGCAAGTAAAGGTGAGAGCTGTGTTGACGTAGATGGATCTTGATGATGCTTTGCTGGGTTTTGATAGGATACCAGCAAACTTATCTATGGAGGAGAAACAATGGAAGGATCGGAAAGCTTTAGCGCAAATCCAACTTCATTTATCTAACAATTTGCTGCAAGATGTTTTGAAGGAGAAGACAGCGGCTGCTTTGTGGCTCAAGCTGGAGCAGTTATGCTTGACAAAGAATTTGACGAGCAAACTGACTCTAAAGCAGAAGTTGTATTCTCATCGCATGGCGGAAGGAGGGTCACTGCAGGACAACCTTGCTGTGTTCAAGGAGATCGTTGCAGATTTGGAGATGTTGGAGGTAAAATATGATGAAGAGGATCTAGCCTTGGTCATGTTGTGTTCGCTATCCAATTCTTTTTCGTCATTTCGTGATACTATTCTGTATAGTCGTGACACGTTATCCATTGAGGAGGTATACGACGTCCTATTTTCAAAAGAGAAGATGGAGTTGTTGGTTGGAGATCCTGCATCTAGGAGTGGGGATGCTCTTGTTACTTATGGTGATCGACGGAGGGGTAGATCGAAGGTGAGGTACAGCAATGTGTATTGTTATTACTGCAAGAGGAAAGGACACATCAAGAAAAATTGCGATAAGTTGCAAGGTAAAGGTGATTTACATACAAATCATGTGGGGCAATCAGGTAATTCGAACGAGACTAATATTGCTGAAAATTCTTGTGATGATGGAGATGTGATGTTGGCTGTATCTGACGAGGAATCCAAACCTGAGGAGTGGATTCTGGATTCTGCTTGTTCGTATCATATGTGTCCCAATAGGGTTTTATTTCAAACACATGAGACGGTGAAGCAAGGTGGAGTTGTCATGGGTAACAATCAATCTTACCGGGTTGCAGGAATCGGTTGGGTCAGATTGAGGCTACAGGATGGAACAGTGAGGACACTTGATTAGGTTCGCCATGTTCCAGACTTGACAAAGAATCTCATATTACTTAGTACCTTGAATGAAAAAGGGTACAAATTTTCTAGTAGATGTAGAGTCTTGAAGGTTCGAAGGGGTGTTCGGGTTGCACTGGAGGGGTGGAGGAAATTCCAGTTGTACATCTTGTAGGGGAGCGCAGAACCAGTTCAGAGACATTTGGACAAGTTTAGTATCGTAGTGGACATTCAATTTGGTACAGTACCTCTTGGGTTTAGCTCTGGGTCAGTTAAGAACTTTGCTCAAGGGAGTGTTGGTGATTCCGCTTTGCCACCAATTTTAGCGAGTACACTGTGTTCTTGTAATGCCAATGGACTCATGGAGTGTAGGTACAGTTTTGGAGATGTCTGTAATACTTTAGAAATCATTGAAGGTGACAATATTGGCAAGGGACCTTCTGATTGTGCATTTGGTGTGGCTTCTGCTACAGGGTGTGCTTCGATCCTATCCAGTGATTGTTAATTCTAGGAGGAATTTTGGGAACCCGGGTTTGGGTTCAGGTGTCTCTTGTGAACGTCGAGCTGGGGAACGTGTTATCGTGGAGAGTTTGGTTATTGCGTTGAGGAGATTGGTCAGTTCATTCTGATGCAGACGGATTATTTCTCAAGGTGAAGAAATTTTGGAGCTTCGTTCGTTGCACCGAAATTTGAGTCAAGGTGGAAATTGTTAGAAGTGTGACTCAAATAGGAGTCTAAATTGCATTAGATTTCTTACCTTTTTTGGGACTCTTTTAGGGCTAGATTTTATACTATAAATACAAGGCTCCTCTTTCAGTATTGTGGAAGCCATTATTGTTGTAATTCTCTCCTTTCATTTATTGAATAAAATAACATCGTTCCTCTGTCAGTTCTTTTATTTCTTTACTTTAATCTTGTTCGTGGTTATTTGTAATCTTATTCAATACTTCAATTACAACAAGTGGAATTCATTAAATCTCAATTCCTGCATTATTGGTCAATCGGTCCCAACAAAAGTAACCAAATCCAGTATGGTAAATTCTGTTCAGTATTATCTTCTTTATTTTTCGACAGGATTGGCTTTGATCCCCCAAAATAAGGATGCGATAGAAATCCATGAAGCATTTTGTCATCTCTAGGCTAAGATTCAGCCCCGGCGATGAGAAGAATCTTATTTGCTATATTGACTCCAAAACTATCCTTACCTATATATATTACCAGAATCTGCATGTTAGTAACCCATAGCCCCTTTCAATATTTAGACTGGTTCTCTGTGGCAAATTGAGAGAGATGCATCTTAAAGGATTTTCCAGATTTTCGTTCTTGGTGTCCAACAACCCCATTGATGGTGTAGTATAATGATGCAGCCGCTTGTTCTATGCATTTTGAGGTTTCCATCTAACAAGGTTAGAAGCCGATGCTTGGTGTGTAATCTCTCAAATAGGATTTAAATGTATTATGTGATGCAAAGATTGTTGGAAATTGGTTTCCAAATTAACATGAAAGATCGGAAATTGGTTAAGTAAAAATTGAAATCGAAAAGTTTGACTAAGTATCAACTTTGATCGAATATTCAGACTTGATCCGATGGTCAAATTACAAAAGTAAAAAGGCCAACTTGTTCTACTCATCGAGTAGATTATCGTAGTATATTTGGACATTAGAAACCAATTTCGGGTGAATGAGAAATTGTGGTCCAAAGATTGGAGGAAAATACGGTGGAAAAGGGCTAAAATACACTGTCGCTCGATGTTCGCTCGAGTGACAGTCTTGCTCACTCGAGCGAAATTCGAGCGAAAAGCGAGCGAAGTATGTTCTGCTCAGAATTTTGAAGCGCTCCTCGAGCGAAAAGCTAGCGAAGATGGAATGTTGCAACTATTCGAAAGATTGCACGATTTGGCCCACACCCCTTCCTCCTCTATAAATAGGA